CTGGAGATCACAAACCCTGCCCTGCGGCTCTGTAATTCTGCCGTCAGTCCAGCCAGCCAAGCAGCCTGTATGGTTTCATTCGTCCCTCACCCTGTGTCCGAGCAGCCGCCAGGGGCCCTTGACCACTTGCCTGTAGAGCCAGGATGTCTGCTAGGGCTGTAGAAGTGCATGCCTGGAGCCCACCTCAGGCTGCCTGAATTAGGACTCCTTGGGGCTCCTGTGTCTGTATGGATGAAGTATTCTGGGCTGCGGTGATGGCATTGCGCATTAAGAATCAGCTGAAGTCTCTCTCTGTCCTCCTCCACCATGCTCCCGCAGCTGCTGCTCCTGGTTAGGCTCTTGAAGCGGCCTGTGGTGGCCACCGCATGTTCCCCCCAGCTCAGCCTTCTGCAACTTGTGGCTGTGGAGGCCACAGATCTGACAGCAAGGTGTTGACAGGGCCCTTCTGCCTGCACTTCCCCTGGCTGTCCCTTCTCTGTCCCTGTGGTGTCCTTCGAGGACACTTGCCATTGCATTTTGGGCTGCCAGGGATCCGGGAGGGCGTTGACTGGAGACAGCTTGCTGATCCCTTCTGCAGACTTGGAGGGCCACAAGTAGAAGTGGCCCTTTAAGGGGCTGCTGGTCCCCCCAGCTGCGGGCCCTTTCTGTCTCACAGTTCTGCCTGCCTTCTGGATCTGCCATCCGATCCACCCCATGTCACCGTGCTCCCCAAGTAGCTGTGTGTGTCCTGTCACGTTGCCCTTCTGTTTAACCTCACCAGCCTACCCCTCCACTATGGGTACAAGGCCTTGCCCCTTCCCTTGGAGTTTGGGGCTGCAGCAGGCAGCTCCCTGCCCACCCTTCCCCTCTGCTCTGGCCTTGATGAATGAACTTGAGGCATTCCCAGCCGAGCTCCCGTGACCCTCCCTGCCCTGGGCATGCAGTTGCCCTCAGGCTCCCGCTGAGTCATGCTGCTCAGTGTTCCAGACACATCAAGCAGCGTCTCCTCCAGGAAGCCTCTCCTCCTGCCACTTGTTATGTGCTTGTGTCCGTGCCTTTCTCTCCCCGCTGAGCGGGAGCTCTGCCAGGGCTGAGCAGCTCATGGCTGTGCCTGCAGTGCTGGCGCCTGGCGTTATCCATGTTAACCGCACGGCCGCGCAGCTTAGCCCAATCAGAAACGTGTCTCATCTCGATGCCCGCTTTCCCCGCCACACCACCTTCGTTATTTCCAGTAGGATTTTCACTGGACTTTGTCATCCAGGTGTTAGGAAAGCAGACAGCCTGTAGCTAGACCAGCTTCTGTGTGCTTACCTTGCAATATCTGTGCTCAACCTCACACCCTTCGTGTAAAGTACAGCTTTTGAGAGTGTAAGTACAGAAACCAACCTGAGTCCATTAAAACTAAGAATAACTTTGTGAGCCAGGGTCAAGTGCACCTGTCAGTAGGCCCACCGGAGCCTTGTTGCCCCTCCTCTGTGCAGCGAGTCTGCTCCATTCCTCACTGTGCCTGCCTCTTCTGCCCCATCAGGGACTGTGACATGAGCCCAGCACGCAGGCCTGCATGTCTCAGCTCCAGCCACCCTCGAGACAGCATGGTTGTCTCATCCTCATCTTCAGGGTGCGAGTGTCAAGAGCCAGCCTGGGTCAGATGTCCACCTCCAGCCGTTGTCCCAGCATGCAGGACAATGCTTGCAGGGCTGTTCTGTTTGGATGTGGAGCTGGGGCACCTTTGGGAGTCCCAGGGATGGACCAGAGGAGGGGAGTATGTGTGGTTGTGAGCAGATGGTCCGAGGAGCACTGGCCACACCTAGAGGGCTAGGTCCTGATGACCAGAAGTGCTGATTGTGGAGGGAGAGATGCTGCACGGGGCAGAGAACCCCTGGCCTGGAATGGCCCTCATCCTGTGTGGGCCACGGTGGTGAGAACCATCTCTGCTTTCAATGGTTCGCATCTGCTTGCCTTCATATAGAGCGTGCAACTTGAGGAAGAGGCATGAAATTGATGTCGGGTTTATCGTGGTTGGTTGCTCATGGGTGCTTTGTAGGAGTGATCAGAAATAACGTTTCAGAAAAATTGTGTGTTTCTTTTTGATCTTGCCTGAAGAAAAAGGAGAGGAAGGTGTGAATTCTCTTTGTTCCGTCTTGTATAACTGACACTCCATTGTCCTGGAATAGGAAACGGGAAGGGCCACAGTAGGGAGACCTTCCAGGGATGCTGGTCATGACTGCAGCACCCACCCTGTGTATAACACACACACACAGCTGCCCCCTCCCCGCACCTGCTGCCCCCTCCCCGCACCTGCTGCCCTCACCCTGCACCTGTTGCCCTCGCCTCGCACCTGCTGCCCCCGCCCCGCACCTGTTGCCCTCGCCTCGCACCTGCTGCCCTCACCCTGCACCTGTTGCCCTCGCCTCGCACCTGCTGCCCCCACCCTGCACCTGTTGCCCTCCCCCGCACCGCTGCCCCGCCCGCACCTGCTGCCCTCACCCTGCACCTGCTGCCCCCACCCCGCACCTGCTGCCCCCGCCCCGCACCTGCTGCCCCCACCCTGCACCTGCTGTCCTCACCCTGCACCTGCTGCCCCCACCCCGCACCTGCTACTCTTGCCCCGCACCAGCTGCCCCCGCCCCGCACCTGCTGCCCTCACCCTGCACCTGCTGCCCCCATCCCGCACCTGCTGCCCTTGCCCCGCACCTGCTGCCCTCGCCCCGCACCAGCTGCCCCCGCCCCGCACCTGCTGCCCTCACCCTGCACCTGCTGCCCCCATCCCGCACCTGCTGCCCTTGCCCTGCACCTGCTGTCCTCACCCTGCACCTGCTGCCCTCGCCCCGCACCTGCTGCCCCCACCCTGCACCTGCTGTCCTCCCCCTGCACCTGCTGCTCCCGTGTAGTTCTCACCCCTTCCCCCAGCCCCTGGCCTGCTGTGTTTCCCACACCTGATGCTCCTGTGTCCCTGTGCCCCACTCCAGGGAGTAAGGACCCTCAAGACAGGAACAAGTCCCTAGGCCAGCATTTCCCTGTCATGTCCTGGAAAGGGTGTGTTAATTTGTTCTTTTTTTGTTTGTTAAATTTTTATTTTGCATTTTTGAATTTTATTGCACAATTTCATACTCCCCAAACTCCTACCCACCTGCAGATTTTCCCCATGTTGCCACAACAGTATAGTCCTTCATAAGGAGTCATGATTCCATCAGTCTGTTACTTAAGTGTGCCCTGACATTGCTGGTACAGACAATGTCAGACAGTCCAGCATCCCATTGTCTACACATTTCCAGCAGTTTCACTGGGAGTCCATCTCTGATTTGGAAGCAGGGATGCATATTGCATTGTATCCCCGCATCTGGATACGATAGTTTCTATTACTCCATCTCTATACATTCCCTTAGTGTGTTAATTTGAAGTCTTCCTTTAGCTTCTTTTTCTTGAAAAGCACTTTTTTTTTGCCCAGGTGGAGGCAGTGAATAGCTGTACTAGTGTGCCAGGGTGGGCCAGGGGGCAAGACTCCCGGGGACTGCTAGTCTGGAGCTGGGAGCGCCGACAGCAGCTCTGCCTTTCCCTTAAAGCCCTGACCCTGCAGCCTGGCTGTCCTTATTTTATTTTTCTCTGACCATGTTGAGGACCTGCTGATGGGAATCCAGGAGAGAGAAGATGTTCATTGAGCTCACGGTTTCGGAGGTTGAAAGTCCAAACAGCTTGATGAGAGCCTTGTGGGGAGATGGTATGTGCCAGGGGAGAGACCCCGTGGTGATACAGGAAGGCGACAGGCTTACCAATTGACTCGGATCTGCCTTGCCAGAACTAACAGTCTCATGAGAAATGTGAGGGTTGTGCCCGTAGGGGTCCAGGCACCTTGCATGGGGCCCCACCACTCCCGAACACAGCCACCCTGAGGCCCAGGCATGTCCTGTAGGAGCTGGGGTGGCACACTCAGACCGGAGCCGACCGGAGCATGGACGTTAGATGTCCCATGTCATCTGGATGACTTTTTAGGCTTTTTGACAGGTGCTGGATTAAAACCTGAGTGTGTGTGTGTGTGTACATATACATTTCAAGCTACTTTTGGCTAACAGTATATACTTTCAAGTGAAATGGGATTGAATGTAGGAAATTTGGAACATGTAAGAAAGCAAGTAATTTAATTTGGTCTTCTTGCAAATAAAGATCCTGCAGACAACGTGAACACGACTTGCGAGTAAGGGATGAGGTTTAATTAGTGTGCCATTTTCTAACTAGTTCATTTAAAAATATTTCCCAAGTGTTTCTCGGGAGTCCGTTGGAAGGATGCTAGCAGAATTGAACAAGTGCTCATATAGGCTCTGCAGAATGCTCACTGTGCTGATTGAAACTCTTTGCAAAAAGATTCAGAGTCTGGTTTTGTGTAATAGGAAACCTGAAATTACTTGCACGTCACTCATACATTGAGTTTGTGGAAAGTGATTGGAATTACATTGCAGCTGAAGTGCAGGACGCATAGTAGGCAGTTTTTTAAACCTCTCCTTGCTTGCCCTTGTTTCCTTTTAGGCTTAGAGCTTTTTAAAAATAATTAATTAATTAATTTGTATTGGAAAGGCAGCATTACAGAGAGGAGAGACAGAAAGATCGTCCGTCTCCTGGTTGGTTCACTCCCCAAATGGCCACAGTGGCTGGAGCTAGCTAAGTGTAAGTGGGAGGAGATCAGAGTCTCTGTTCTGTTTACTAGATGTTATGTCAACATTTATGACGATTTTTGTGTGAGTTACATTCTTTGGTGTTTAATATGCCACTAGTTTCCTTTCCTAAAAAATAATTATGTTTACCTGAAGTGTTTCACTGGGGCCTTACTACAGGAGCCTGGAGCTTGTTCTGGGTCTCCCATTCGCAAGTCTGTGGGCCGCCCTCCTGGCTTCCCCAGGTCATGAGTAGCCAGGACATGAAGCAGTGCCCAGATAGGATGCTGGGGCTTGCAGGTGGAGGATTAGGCATACCCCAGGCTTAGAGCTTTTAAAATCCACAGGTGAATGAGCTCTGTCATCTCTCTCCAGGTACAATGGTGCTTTACCTAACGGAGACAGGGGGCGCCGGAAGAGCAGATTCGCCCTCTACAAGCGGCCCAAGGCGAATGGTGTCAAGCCCAGCACGGTGCACGTAATATCCACACCCCAGGCGTCCAAGGTAGGAGGCCCGCGCTGCGTGGCTCATGGCCGTTGCCTGTTGCCTGCCCTCTTCCCTTGAGTCTTGTTTTCTCATGAGACAGAGCTGCTCAGCCAGGTGTGCCCGGCTGACACTGTTGTACCCTCGGCTTCCCCCGGGGTGCCAGCCTGCTGACCCCCCTCTCCCCCCCGCCCGGCTCCCATGGCTGTTGACCACTAAAAATGTCTCTGGATGTTTCTGGATTGCACTCTTGGGAATCGTTGTTCTAGAACACAAAGCAGCCAGCGCTTGTTAATTTTGAATAGTTGGTGGTTGGAAGGTACCTGATGTTCTTGTACTTTTGTGTTTGATCTTGGTACCATGGATCTCATGAAGATTTGTTGGCCTTGCGTTGAGTGTAACAGGTGTTTCCGCTTAGTGCACCTGGATGTGGAATTGGAGTCACGTGGCAGTTGGAACTATGCAAAGGAAACAGCTGAGTGACATGAGTCAGCTGTGGTCAACCAACATGTTTCTTCTCATTAGTTTGAAATGAATAAGATGCTGAATTTTCTCTTTAACATTTACCTCATTGCTTTTCTAAAATAAAAGTGGGAGGAGACAGAGTGTCTGTTCTGGTTGATAGATTTGATGTCATCAAGTCACGACAGTTTTTCTTTCAGTTAAGTTCTTTGGTATGTAATGCCAGTAGTTTCCTTTTTTAAAAAATAATTATATTCATCTGGGACTTTACATGTTCATCATCATGGGTTTTGTACCACTTGGAATAAATAAAATTTCTGCTTCTCATTTTTGTTAAAAACTTGTGTTTTTAAAAAATTTTACCTTTTCTTTCTTTTTTTTTGGCTATGAGTTAATTGAGGCCAGAGTTGTGGCACAGTAGATAAAATTGCCACTTGCAGTGCTGACATCCTATAGTGGCTCCACTTATGATCCACCTCCCTGTTACTGGCTTGGGAAAAGCGGTAGAAGGTGACCCAAGTGCTTGGGTCCTTGTCATCCATGTGAGAGACAGATAAAGCTACTGGCTATTGGCCTGTATCATGGCCTGTCCCAGCCCTTGAACATTACTAGCTGTTGTAGCCATCTGGAGAGGGAACCAGCAGGTGGAAGCTCGCTCTCTGTCTCTCTCTCTCACTGCTTTGAGTCTTCCTGTTCCTCTATAACTCAGACTTTTGAAGTAAGTAAATAAAAAAATATAGAGGGGGAGAGAGAAAGACACAATTCTTTTACTCCCTGCATGGTTGCAATGGCCAGAGCTGGCCCAGACCCAGCCCGGGAGCCAAGAGCATCATCTGTTTCTCTCTCCTGGATGGCAGTGGCCCAAACGTTTGGGCTATTTCTGCTGCTTTTCCAGGCACATTAGCAGGGAGGTGGATCAGAAGTGGAGCAGCTGGGACACAAACAGGCAGCCTTACTAGATGCCCGTGTCAAAGGCCCTGAAAGCCAGGTTTCAAAGAGAAGCGGTGACTCAGCACACATGGTGTTTACACACTGTTAACTGTGCAGGTTACTTTGTGCATGCTTTTATTTTTAAGCAACTCGTTAAGGTTGGTTCTCAAGTGGCGCCATGGACAGGGCCACTTGAGATGCATGTGCTGGTGCAGACTGTCCTGTGTCGGTAGGGAAACAGGTGGGAAAGAAAATATCAAGCCCCAGGGGCAGGGGGAGAGGGAGATTGCAGTTGAGTGGACAAGTTTTTGGCTGGAGAAGGAGAAATAAACAAAATCTTAGGGAAGTAGAGACATTCTGTAAGAAAAGCAAAGCAGCTGCAGCTTGTGAGGAAAGAGTAAAATAAAACCGCGGTTCTGAAGGGCCGAGGAGGCAGGAGCGGCATTCCGGAAGCCTGGGGCACACGGGTGTTGGGGCGTGTGCTGCGCTCCATGGGGGTTCTGATCATGCGTGTGCAGGTTGTCTCCATGGTTTTGCCTGTCGCCAGAAGCAGCGTGTCTTGGGTTTCTTTCCCTCCGCCTTGGTCTTACCACAAGCGCTGATGTTTTCCTGAGTGCATGGAAAGGTTCCTGCGATGATGAAAGTTCTGTGTTGGGAAGGAAAAGAAATGGGACAGGGATAGAGCGACTGGGCCTCGCGGTGGGCACGTGGTGGGAGCCAGCGTGGCCCTTCCTGGACCTGCGCTGCTGCGCATCGGGGGCTGGAGTGCTGTGGGAAGCCCTCCGGAGCGGGGGTCCTCGCCTTCTCTGTGGTTCCTCCACCTTCCCGGCTCCTCGTGCCGCCTCCGCCTCCGCCTTCGATCCCAGTTGGTGGCCTCAGGAGCTGGCGCCTGGACACAAAGCTTCTCCTAGATCAGCTGGTCTTGCTTGTGGAACATCTCCTGGAACTGAAGACCCTGAGCCCGCAGACCCTGCAGAGCCTCCAGAGGACCTGTTGCCTCCAGGAGCAGGACGCTGAGGTTGGTCATCGCTGTTGTGAGCTCGAGGTGAAGTACAGGCACAACAGGGCATACTGGCAGGTGGAGTCATTGCTTCAGGAGGACCAGGCCATGGGCGTCTACCTGTACGGGGAGCTGATGGTGAGCTCACTCGCAGGTGCTTCCAGCTGGCCCAGGGACAGAAGGACAAGTTGTCAGCCAAGGTGGTGGCTGAGATGCTGTTCTGAAAAGGGAAGACAGCAGCCAGGCTCCCTTTGCTGCGGAGTCCACTGACCCCTGGATGGCACAGCCAAGGGGGATGTGGCAACAATAGCCAAGCCCCTGCCTACCTTGGGCCATACCTGCCTTACAGGGTGGCAGGTGGAGCAGAGGCCAGCAGCTGTGTTAGCGCACCTGTCGGCACCTGGAGACACCAGAGCCGCCTGCACGCGTATCCACAACCTTGCGTCCTGGGACCCATGGACTCCCTTTAATGTCATTGCAATGCGTTTTCATACAATTCTGCTGAACTATTTTGACCGATATGTCCAACGTTTGGATTTCAAGTTTTTAAAGTCTTTTAAATTATTTTTTAAAGGAACTAAACTGTATTACTAATAAAAGTGTAATAGATTTGAGGAAAGAAATGGGATACATGGTGCTCTTCCCTGCCCTCTAACTCCTTCTGTCTTACTCTTTGGCGCCTTAGCTTTCTGCCTAGATTTTTTACATCAACTTCTTTAGGTGAGAAATCTCCGGGAGTTGTCTCAGTCTGTGCTTGCAGTTATTACCCACGGGACCAGGCGTGAGGCAAACTGAGTGTGGGCCTTGACCCTGTTGTTTCACTTACTTATATATTTCTTTGACCTGGTTCACTCCCCAAATGCCTTGCAACAGCCAAGCCTGGGCCAGGTGGAAGCCGGGAACCCTGAACTCTACCCAGGTCTCCCCATGTGGGTTTCTAGGGCCCAAGCGCTGGAGCCATCCTTGCCTTCCTCTTCAGCAGGAAGCTGGATCAGAAGCTGGGGAGCTGAGACTTGATGCTTTCCACCATGGACTGCGAGCATCCCAAATGGCAGCTTTACTGGGCCGTAATGGCTGCCCCATCCCTCCTAGTGTAACCTGAGAGAGAAGTATGTTCTCTAGGCCTCACTTTAGGTTTTGATGTGCTGGGGTAAAGTGACTGCCAGCAGGAACGGTTTTCACTCTGATAAGATACTTTGGATGTCAGCAACAGAAACAAAAAGTGAGGCAGAAATGAAGATTATTATAGAGTAAGGTAAGAGTAGCTGAGTCAACAGGCTTAATGGAAAAGGAGGACTGGAGGTTAACACAGGTTGTTAACCTGAGTTAACACAGAATGTTAACCTGAGTTTTCATCCAGGGCTGTGAAAGTGATTCGACTCCAGCCACTGGCTCCCCTTCAGAAGAGAGGATCTGATGGCCTGGACCCCTCCTCCGTGACCGTGGAGACAGGTGACATGGAGAGCAGGGATGCTTAGCAGAAGCCAGGCAGTCACCCCAGGCTGCCATTGCCTTGTTTGTCTTCCTTATCTTGGCTGCTCGGCCTCTAGGACAGGAAGTGCTGGATCCTGGTTTATAGGTCCGGTGAGCTCTGGACACCTGCCTCTTGCCCTGTGTGATGCTGGGACCCTGGCTTGCTTCAGTGCCACTGTGGCTGGGGTGCTGCTGCTGGCCAGCGGGACTTGGGAACCTTGTTCCTGTGCGTGTCCAGCCCCATCCATTGTCCACCTGCCTTTTGGCTGCTGCTTTGCTGCACTGGGTCTTAAATGAATGGCTTGCTTGCTTGCTTTTTTTCTTTCTTTCTCTTTTTCTTTTTTTTCTCTCTTGCGTCCCTCCCAGGTCATACAACTAGAAATAATTTCATTCTCTTCCCACTAGAGTCTTTTCCACCTCTTCCATAGGTTCTCCTGGCCACCACACCTGCACAAATCTCAGGGCCTCGCCTGCCCCTTCCTTACCCCTGGAGCACCCAAGCTTCGTGATTAGGGTCAGAACTCTTTCTTCCATTCCATTTTTGCAAGGACGCAGTGACCACAGCCCCCACTCCATGCCTCTCTTGTGTATCAGGGAGCCAGCCCTTGAGCCAGTGTTTGTGGCCATGGCGGCTAGCCCCACTGGCTCTCTATGTCCTGACCCCCACCTGATCCCCACACTGTTTGCTCTGACACCCCTTCCTCCTGAGCCCCTGGTTTTTGACTTGTCCAGAGCATGCCAGCCTGACTTCCTCATTACTCACCCACACCCCTTCAGAATGCCGGTAGATGTGGTGGTGCCTGGCAAAACCCTGGGACCTGAGTTGACATTGTCCCTGAACTTGACAATTCTGCAGCCTTGGTATGGTGAGGCTCACCCGAGAGCCGGTGGACTGGCTGGGTGGTTGAGGTTGAGGCACTGTGCTGGTGGGCTGTGTCGCTTCTTCCCTTCGCCATCATTGCCCTGCTCTGGCCCAGCGTCTGGGAGCAGAGCAGGACTAGGCCTTTGCAGCTGGGAGGTGTGGGACCTGTCCTTGTCTCCCCCCACCCAGTCTGATGGGTGTGACAAGCTTGTGCTGCTGTTGTATAATCTGTATTTGCATAATCTTTATTTGGGTTCATGTTTGCTCTTGAAATAACCCAGGCATTTCTCTAAT